CGATATATGTTTCATGACACTCTCCACCTACATCAATGTGCTCTCTATTCTGGAACTGTATATAAGCACCTCAGATAATATTATCACTTTTCGAGACTGATCCAATCCACAGTCTCTAATATCGGCTCTTAGTGAGGAGGGTGGGAGAGTATGAGAGGAGGTAAGCATTATTAGAAATACATTTTTGATTTACGAAAATATTAATTTCTGCTCACACTACAGCCAGAATCTCACATTGATAAGGTGGAGGGGCCAGTGAGGGCATTATCCATACAGAATGCATCGGAAGAGATTGTAGGCATCCCAACAGAAGATTAGCACCCTAGTGGGGAAACCATACTACATCCATAACAGGTATGCTCTTCACTCGGAACCTAATTAATGTACTGTGGGTGGAATTTAACATGATCCATCATTACTACTGGCCAGACCCCAACCAGGTAGGTGAGGTTCTATTCCTCAGGGTTGGAATTATAGGGCCATGGTCCCGAAATCCCAAGTTGGTGGCTAGAGCATTTGGACCACAATATATATACTTGTGAGGGGATCTCAACCTGTATCCATAGAGTGATGTGTTCCAAGCCACAGGAATAAGTACAAGAACATAAGCAAGACCAAAGTAGACAAATTTTTTCCTCAACCTGAAGAAGTCGGAAATGCAACACCCCAAACTCAGAATGACGGAATCCTGTACACCATACTTAACCTGAGAAGACAGAGCTCATTCTGGAATTATGAATACTCATCCTCACTCCCCAATCATGTGGACAAGGTAAATTCCACTTGTCCCCAGAATTATGGGGAGGATGTGGAACATACTGTGCTTAACCAAGGACCCAGGATGGGACCATCCTGCATTTGGAATTATGAGAAGACAATGAACCCTATTCCAGGAACAATATTCTGAAGTAATATTGATCAAAAAGAAAGGCCAAGCTCAACCCAACTGGATAGCTGAGCTTCCAATACCTTTCCTACCAACATTGGGGGGCAGGGGGGGGTGTACATCTAGAGTCATGGGTAGGAGGGCCCTCAATTTTACCTCTTCTCTATGAGTGGAGGAAATTCACTCGAACACTCCAGAAGAATAGCCTCTGTCCGCCACCCCAGAGACTGGAAACCTGATATGTTAAAGACTCCCTAGCTCCACTAGTAGAATCTGTAGGGTATTGCACATTGGAGAGTCCTGAGTAACAATGCCCTAGAAACAGTGCAATAGGTGAACCATGTCCCCTAAATTATTAAAAGCAAAACTGAAAAAAAGCAAAATTTATTCAATCCAATGATCGGCAGGGATGGGCAGGATTCCGTTATCCTATACTTGTGAGTCTATGATTGGTGGTCCAGCATAGTCCAGTAATACCACCTGGAATGTATCTTGGTGGTCTTCTGGAACACCTCGTTTCTACATAGCCTGTTGCAACCTAGATAGAGTATATTATGTTAATGGTTGTTAGTGTGGATTTGGTTTGCTAAAAACACACCTGCCTGGGCAACACTCACTACAGAGTGGGATCCTGTGAAAAAAGATAAGGGACTCTGGAAAGTAAAGAAGAGACAAAAGTAATAATGAAGATACTCACCCCCTCTTTATAATCTAGCAGATGTGTTTAAGATAGCTACAGGTGGTATTCTAAAACCCTCAGATACTGTCAGATCATGCAAATAATGTAAGATAAAAGTACTGGGGGAAGTCCACATACCAGCACACACAATATCCTCCAACAGGCAATTCAACAGGACCACTAAGGACATAGAAATTTGATGAATCTGATGAGACATGACTTGCAGAAGTCTCCTCACCTCCAAAAGGAACCCAGAATAAATGATATAGATCAATTTTTGTACCTACCTCGTCAAGGTAACCAGGGATAAATCCCAGGAAACTGAAGGATCCCAATGAATAAAAAGTTGTTGTCTAGCACCTCCAAAGACGTTAGTTTGGCAACATAACACACTTCAAGACCTTCACTGGACATAAGAAATGATTGGGATCTGATCGGTCATAGAGGTGAGAAATAGTGGTCAGATGAATAAACTGTTGACATAAGCAGGTCAGCAGCAACAAAAACTAAGCCTTAAAGGAAAGGTGATGCATGGTACATGAGGCTAAGGGCTCAAACGGATGTTGAGAAAGATCATGTAAAATCACCTTAAATATCCCAGTTAGGTAACTGAAACAGTCTCCTTCTCAATATGAATAATGTCATGGACAACCTCAACTTAGAGTGACACCCCTCCCCTGACTGTTGAGCAATGCTAGATATCAGAGGTGGGATGGGAGAGATCTGATTTGCCTCTGTGCCAGAAACAGTAATCTGGGAATTCATGTTATACAGCAGCATGCCAAATGGGAAAAATTTTTTTTTACTTTCTTATTTTACAAAAATCAACTAGGTAACAGGTAGAATTCTCAAATGTATTTCCAATGGTCGTAGTACTAAGAAACACATTACTGAATGCCTTGTTGAGAAAAAGTGATAATATTATCTGAATGAGATACTTATATACAGTCCAGGACAGAGGATGCACTGAGAGAGGTGGAGAGTGTCAC